TATCTCTGCAGCAGGTGCACGGTACATTTGGAGAATTGATCATTTTCAGGCCGGGACCGTTCACTTTCAGCAGTGTTTGGTTGAAAAAATAATTTTCTGTCTGCTTCGACACATGTACTAATCCACGTGAACATCCATATTTTCTCTTTTCTACTTCTTCTTGTTTTTTTTTTTCTGCCAGATGAGATCATTTTTTCACTAATAATTTGAAAAGGTCAAACATCCAAATTGAACAAGAGATAAAAGGGATTATAGAAAGGCAGAATGATGCGACAATAAACAAGCTTGGCGAATTGGCCATGGTTCTGAATGTGAAAAAGGACATTAAAAAGCAGGTAATGTAAGCAAAATAGCAATCAAAGTTGTCCTATTTATCATTTAGTTGTATATATATTCACATACAAGCTATTAATTACAGTCTCTACCTAATTCTCTATGAATCCGCATTGCTCTGTGTTCTGTTGGATACGCCCACAGTTTTAGAGAAGAGATGACTAAAACTGCAAAACTGATACCCAGAAAGACACACATCTCTGCATTTCTTAGTGAGCTGCCAACCACATGGCTCATTTTCTCACAGATCACATTAGAATCCACTGCTGTCCACACTCTGACCTTCTTTGCATAGCAGAACACGAAAGACAAGAGCAAAATTCAGCCTCAGCTGTCCGTTTCTGTTGGGGTGGGGTGTGTGTTGTGTGTGTGTTGGGGGGGGGTGGGGGTTGTTTTCTTTTTAACCGACAAGAAATTGCTCCGACACATGGTTCTCCTAGATGTTGGAGAAAGCAGGTTCTTGGCGTGTCTCTTTGTAAATAAGCAAAACCGCAGTGATTGGAAAACACAAGCGGTCCCCAGTACTAATTCACTTTTTGCGAAGGGTTTCCTTCAATTGATGTCATAGACCAAGGGAGATCCTTGCTAAAAAAAAAGTGGTATCATGTCTGAGGGTCGCCCTAGACTTCCCTTTCAGAGAGAGACTGGGGGCTACCTTGTGGTGTATCTCTTCTGTCAGACAGTGCACATGCACTTTTGTAATACATAAACGCGAGAAACTGTTATTACAAAAACCACACGGCTGCGGGTTTGTTTTTCTCTCTAAAATGACTCATTTCCTGCAAAGAACTCTGTGCACGATTGACTGAAAGCAGCAAATGCTTTTAGATACAAGGAGAGGGGTGGTGGTGGGGTTTAGGCAGGTCAGGTACTGAGTTTGGAGACATGTGAAGGAAAGACAGCACATGGCACTTCAGCAGTTTTGCTGCACTGAACGTACACATCATTTTGCATTTCAAGAGAGGATAAACCGCAGCAAAGCACCAGTTCCCTTGGCTTCCAGACACAGTGAATCTGGAAAGGGATTACAGACTGCTACACGCATCAGAGCAGTGCTGTTTTCCTTTTCTAATGAAACACTAAAAAGACCCTTTCGAAAAAGGTCAAAGAAAGACATTGAAAGCTGAGAAAATGCTGTTAATGGGTGCATGTAGAGTCGAAGGAAGATGAACGAAATGATTATGCTTGATAATCAGAATCTTAGCGGCACAGAAACCAAACCAGTCGTTAAAGCAAACAAGTTCAAAGTTGACCTGAATTGGTTAAAAGGAGATCAAGAAAATGCGAGGGCTCCATTTTAGAGGGATCCATAATCAGAGATTAGCAAAAAGAATGGATTGAACTACAGGTGGAACTGAAAAAAAAAGATATCTATCAGGAATAACCACATATAAGAAACTAAGAGTACTGAAAAAAGGTTTTTGGGAGTATTGTATAGTCAATTTGGCTTAACCTGCCTGGCTGTTTGACAGCCCCCATGCAAAGTGAAGATTGGCCAAGGGGCAGCTGCACAAGAGGGATGGAAAAGATTAACACAAAGGAGAGAAAAAGGGCAAATGTACAGTATTTATATACTTTTTGCACTTTAACTGAGGAAATGATTACAGCCCAGGACAGTTGAGGGCAGTTGAACTTGGCCGTCGTTAAGCCTCAAGGACTTTTGTTGTAAACATGGTTTAAAATTGTAGAGAGAGACAGAAACAAATACTGCAGCAGAGAAGAACTCATACCACATTTCTGTGCTATAACAGTAAAGGAACTGAGAGGTTGTATTCATTTGTGGGATTATACCAGAATAAGTAATAATGAGTAATTAATAATTATTATTACTGAAAGAGTCCTAAAAGAATGTTTTCATTTTTTTTACATGACAAAATCAAGTTATATAAGGATCAGTAGTAATTTTAGAATAACTATCACTGATGCATTACCAGGACTAAGCTTAAAACTACAAAATCCCAAGAGCCAGATCAGTGTAACGTTGTTTTTCATAGGCTTTTAAAAATGATATTTCAATTGATTTCACTAAAGTGCACAAATTTTAAATCTGTCAGGTTAAACTTCCAGGAGGTGTATGCTATTACATTAAATGATTCAGCCCAGAAAGATTGGTTTGCCTGTGACAATTTACAGTTAATAAACTTTTTTAAATGTTTTGACATGTAAAACTATTTTAATTTAATCAGATTCATTATACCCTTATTTAATCAGCCGTTCTAGTAGTTTCAATGAGCTGTTTCAAATTAGCACAAAGGTGCGATCTCACAAAGCATTAGATACAGTATGAATGTCACAATGGTTAATTGTTTTGCATACAATTTGTGGCAGACTTTGCTTTTTTTGGTAAAGCTTTCCGCTGGAAGAAAAAAAAATCTGAATGGTAGAAAGACAGATGCAGACAGGTCCCAGAAATGTCGATTAAAACACTCTTCTGTGCATGAAACTCCATCAAGGAATTTACTTCATTCTTCTATTTACTGTGTCAGTGTGTTCTCCTCTCTTGTACTCTTGTGGAAAATCTGCATCTATAGCACCTACAAGAAACAGGACTGACATCTCTGACCAACTTCCAGCATGTCCTGACAATTCCTCCTTTGTCATCTACAGATCCAATTAGCCATCTCTTTGCCTTGTAACATACAGTATAAACTTTTATCACCAGCTCTGTACAGTATGTCCAGTCACTACACACTGAAGAAGATCAAAGCAAATACATTTCCCCTGTGCTTCACAATTAATACATTCAAATAAATTATTGCTCAGCATTTACAGTATGTGCAACATTATGTGGCCTGTGAACTATGCCAAATTTAAAAGCTCTCATTTCTAAATACAGTACTGCAGTCATTTTCTCTCTAAGTAAAGGTGCATCAGTGCCTACATATGTGTGCAGAAAATAATAAGCACCTGCATATACAGTACTGTGGATGTTACTACACTTTTAGTATGTACTGCGGTACTAGTATGTTGCTAGTACTGCTAGTACTGTAGCAAAACCTGCACTGGCTTAAACACTTCATGCAAATGTGAAAATAAATACATTATTTTTTAAATTTAAACTGACATATTCACAATACAAATAATACTTTGTTACAATACACAGTACAATGGTGTTTGCCGATATGTTAACATACTGTATATGGAGGCCGTTCAGTATAGATTGGACTCTCACACTTTTTCTCATTTGTTTTCTGCATTACACTGAACACCTCTTATTTAGCTTTTATGATGAAAACACATACAGGGGTTTTTCCATTGGCTTGTGAACATAAATTCCCGGTCATGTAGAGAACCACTTTGAGTCTGCTTGAATAAATACAAAAATCCTTCAGATTACTAATTTCTTCATCGAGCAAAGCTCAGACAACTTGTCTTTTAGTAAAAGCCGTTTTTGTACTTTAAAACCGTATTTCTTATTTTTTTCCAATTTGCATCTTTACAAGATCTATAACATACAGTACAAAAAAAAACAGTTTCATTTCTCTGTGTGTCTCATTGTACGCTTTCTGCTGATGCAGTGCTCTTTTTCGTTAATTCTGTTGATCTGCTGGAAATGTAGTATACGGTGTCCTTGAAATGGATCTTTAAGGATTTGTATTGGAGTATACAAGGTTGATGAACATTAAAATGTTCTGGCTTGAAATATTTAAAGATGGTGGTTTTTAATGAGAAATAAATACACTGAAAAGGGCAGCTTGATGTCTGTACCTTTGTAGGTCTAGGGCAATTTATTGTTCTTTTATTAAATCCTTAAAAAGATACTCCTAATTATAAATATTGAATTGACAATCAGATCGATTTGTAAGCGGAATAACACCGAAATACCTTTGATGTATGTTGCTTGCTCATCGCTCGAGTTCGTAGTAATCCTAATTTACTACGTCTACCCACGCTGCACCTTAAACATAACTTTTTCCCATTAGGTTCATGCTGTTTTGTGGATTATGGTCTGGAAGCACTACTCAGAATTACACGGTTAAACTTTGGCTATATTGAGCATTTATAATGTGATTTATGCAATGAAGTTGTATTATTAGCTGAAAGACACATTTCCTTGAAGTTGGACAAAAAATAACAGGAAAATATTTACACAACAGACCACTGCTGTTGTATCTGTTTTTGATTTTCAAAGTATAGTCAGGTACGCCACAAAGAGCCCATCTAGAAAACGGAGAATGTTCAGCTGTTCCCTTGCTTGTCTTTCTCCTCCTTTGACACAACTGGCTGACAAAATAAAAAAAAAAATACCAGGTTTACTCTGCTGCCAAATGGTTAGTGTTTGAGAAAAGGGAGCTCATGGAAATTTACAGATGTGTGATAGAGCACATTGCTTGATTATAGAATGTATACCTTCAGTCAAAGTTTAAAATCCACAGCCTGGGTAAGGTAACAGAGATTTATATGGAAATAAAAAATATCTATCCTAACCCTAGCAGTTGGTGAAGCATTGTTCACTTGGTACAACTTGGTTCTGCAATTTCAGTCAGTGCAGATTCATTAAGAATGAGAACAACAAAACCCTACAGTAGCTAGCAGTAGCATCTGTGCTCACTACTGCTGTGAGCTCCTACTAAGCAAAAGCAGTACCTTCAGATCTCCCAGTTTCCTCCCCCTACAAGCCTTTAAGTGTAAATTAGTGAGATTTAGTTTCAGTTCAGCACTGCAGAGCAGAAATGAATCACCTTACTGTAAGAGTGAGCTGGCTGACAGTTGTCTTCATTTGTGTTTTAATAGGACTTGTCATTTCAAAAGGTAAATGCTTCTCTCTTCTTTAAATTATATTGTTTTTCTATACTTCAGCAAATGGAACAAATTAAAATGCTGTGCATGTCGGGGGTCTTTGTACAAAACTAACTACAAGATATGATTGTTTCTTTATGGGAGAAACACTGTACGGCGTGGGTTCTAAATGTTACGTTTTTTGTTTCGTTTTAAGACCAATTCAGAATGTGCCCTGCTCTGTCTATATGTATGCATAAAAATGTAGACTACAACTGTATTATAATATTTATGAAAAAAGAAATTTTTATAAGAATTTATGTTTATTGAGGGCATAAAGTCAATGCGGTTGTAAAGCAATATTTCTGAATATGTGTCTCTTTAAAATATGTAGATATGTAAAGTATCTTCTATGCTAAATCAAAAATGTTTTTAGGTTGAACAAAGTTGGATAATAGTTTATAGTTGAATGCCTGGAAGCTTTTCAACGAGGTGATAAATCTAAAGACAATGTGCAGCAGAATTAGTTAACAGCATGCTAGGAAATTAGCTCTTTTGAGCATTGCTTACACAATTAGTGCCTCCTTTAATAATCCTTAAGGTGCTTCTGTGATTACCTTTCAAAACTATGTAACGCTCTGCTCCTTTTGTGTCCAGAGGAAACCTTTATTTTATTTTGCTTTTTTTTAACATAGTCTCCTTCATCGGAATTTGGAACATTAACACACAAAAAAAGAATTGCATGTTCAAAAATGAAGTTATTCAGACTCACTTCAAAAGGATAGTTTTAATAAGGATATCAATGCATACAACCTGCGCTGAATTCCCATTTTCTTTAAAAAATCAGACAAATTCTGATTTATAGCCTGAAGCTAAAATGGCTGAAAGGAATCAAGTGAATGATAGAATTATTTGTGCTTATCAAGCTAAGATAAGAAATAAGTCTTACAGTTCTCATCATATATGAGTAGATTATTTCCTTTTACTGTCAAGGTGACATTGGATTGTGGCTTTTTGTATGAGTTTTACCATTTTAAAATGGGGAATAAGCAATACGTAATAAAACGCAATCTGTATTTTGTAAAAATAATAGTAGGATAACTAGGATAAGGTTTTTGTTAATACGACATTAATACAATTGTTTTTCTGAAAGGAAAGTAATTTCTAGGATAATAGAACTGAAGGATAATAACTTACTTCAGTTTTCTCAATTGTGAAGCTCTATGACAAATATTTTGATAGCTGAATGAAGCCAGTTTGCTGTCACAATACACTGTCCATACTGACACCACATACTTTTTGTGTGACTAAACACCCACACTTTACTTAATTCTGACAACAGTATGTATGGCTCTTACCATACTGAACCACTTTGCTTGGACCTAGGAAAGATGTTTCCCAATTACAATTTCTCCTGATTAACAGGAGCACCTTAGTTCAGATTTATGTTAAAAAATCTTACACATGAGCTATGAATTCTTGTTGTTACCCCACAACATTTAAGGTGCACTAATTGAGTTTTTAGCTTGTTTTTGAAAAGTAGAAGTTATGACTCCTGTTCTCCCCCTACTCAAAGCCTTTAAGCCTGTTTGTGAAAAGACATTTGGAGGTTTTGAAATTATTTTGGAACATTCTTATGTGCTCCTGAAAGTTAAACTAGGTGTTTGTTTACAAATTCAGATTGTACATGAAAAACAACAAGGCCAAGGTAATCATGTTTTTCCAGTTGTATAGTCAGACTGAAACTGACATCTGTTACTGTCAGAGAAGAATACAAGGACTTGAAAGGTCTTTATGCATTTTCTCCATTCAGGTTGAGAGAAAAGAGCTACTGGAACATTCAGCTATAAGCTGCATTCATACCCACTTCCTGTGGGTTTTAGATTCTCCTGTAAAATCTCCTTGTACCTTTGCAATTCATTTACATGCAACAAGAGCCTCCATATCTGTCACTCTTAGTACTCTATGTACAAAACAAACAAACCAACTACAGGTGCACTAAAATAGAACTGTCTGTTCTCTAGTATTCTTGAATACGTGGACTGCATAAGACTGTAGGTCATGTAGATTCACAGCTTACTGCAGTCTGTTTCGACTCTATATATAGTTTGTTTCGTTCTATAAGCAGAACACTACTGGTTTATATTACCATAGCAATTCTAAACTGCTGTTATTCGGCATCAGATCTTCACTTCCATTTCAGGAACTTTATTCTGTAGTCGGGGCTATTCTTTCACCAGTTGTATGGTGTCATACTCTGCTTATTGATCGCGTCTTACAGCTCACAGTGCATATGCTGGGCAGTCTTATGTGTGGAGTCTGAATGTTCGCTCCTGGGCCTCCAAATTCCTTCCACATTCCCATGACGTAGTAGTTAGGTTAATTGGTGTCTCTACCTGGTGCTCCACTGCAGTCTGCATCCTGCTCTGTGATGAATGAGTCCCATGCAGCTTGAGGTTACTCCTTGCATTCTGGAATCTGGATTAGGTTCTTGGTTGCTGCAGCCCTTCCACCAAGTGGGCATCATGCCTATTGTGAACAATACACTGTCAGGTTTATACATGCTTGAATACTCGTTCAGATTCTCAGACATCGCCACAATGCACAAATGCACTGGACTCAATATGATCTTGTTTCGAAGGCCAAAAAGACACAAGCCAAAGTAGTCATGTAATTTAGCTTAATATTTATCTAAGGAACTGGGATATATGTTTCAACATATATTGGAAAGCAAGCCATTTCTGGGAGTAGGAACCTTGTCTTCTGAGCGGCTTGAAGCCTCAGTGTAATGTTCCTATAGCGTAATGTGGTGTCATAATGAGAGCTTCTGATTTTTTTATTATGTTGCAATGATCAGGTTCCAATGACGGACTCAATGTTGAAATAAGGAACAGTGAGAAGGAACAGAAAAATACTTCAATTGTCCTGAAAACGTATTATAGCTAAATACTGTATGGAGTAAATAGAAGTGTTCAGTGAGCAGAGATTCCCCATTTTCAAAAATACATATTTTCCGTAGATAATATAAATACAAACACTTATACAATCCAAATTTCACTCAGTTGGTAGTCTCAGTTCCCCTTTTGTTTGTGACTGAAGTATTACTTTTCATAAAGTACAGATAAGTCGTCCAGGTGGGGTTTAGAATTCCACAGGTATTGTTTTCTGTCCAATTCTTCAGTCACGAAAAACAATTGATCTTTTAACTTATCACCACTTCCTTCTTCCAGCAGCTTTTTTTTCAGGACAAAAAAAATCCCCCTTAAAACAATCAGTCTCAGTGGATATAAAATAGAAGTCCAAGTCAGCCATAACATTCACACAAAAGATTAATCAGAAAGGAAAACCAAACTGGACCACATTCCTTAAGACTCAAAGATTCTGCTGAGCCCTCCATAGTGTTTACTCAGTCATTTCTTCTGGTGATCTCTCTTAGGTGAGCCTAGACCTCAAACTTATAAAGCAGTTGATTCATTATTATTATAAAAAGCTGGCTGTACCAGATTACAATAAAGCTAATGTCAGAGCACTGACTTGTCATATAATAACTAACCAACCAAAGTTACAGAAGATATTAATAATTGGATTCAGCCAAAGTAGCATCCAAAACAAATAGCATGAACATACTGATACTGTATACATGACTACCACTACAATGTGACAACTTTTAGTCAGAAAAAGCTCATGTTTGAGAACTTCAGGCTTGATTGCTGGAATTTGTTTCAGAGACTGGCTTCTGGCATGTACTTCTGGGATATACTTTTTGTCCCAGCTCTGAAAGCCAGTGTGTGGTTAAGGATTCATATTTTTTGTCAGGAGATTCCAGAATAACATCCAGTATTGCTATAAACACTCTGTTAGCATGAAACTCTCCAAGTCCCCCTGTCTTAGTTATTAATATTATCACGCTGTCCCAACCCTATTTAAAAACTAGCAAAGGCACTTGAATTACCCACTGTGATGTTTACATTTTAAAATGTTTGATATTATCATTTGGTTAATGTGAACATTTTAAGTTATACACTGCTGCTAAATGATGTCCACTTCATTTTCTTGAAATTCATTTGTCTGCTGTACTATTTATTTCAACACTGTTGTACAATGTCATACTCTGCTTACTGAACACCTTTCTCATAGCATATACTGTAAGTTATCGTGGAATAGCTGCTTATATCTCTCAATGATACTCATGTTCTCCACACCAAGGGAGAAATCTTTATATTAATAATCTTTTTCACTTGATAAGGCAATTGTGAACAAATTCACATTTGCAAGGACAACATTTGTGAAATCTCCTAACCCCTTGTGTCCTGTCGTTTTTCAAGAGATGTACAGATCCCATTATACTGCTTCAGTTGTCCATTCCTGTTTATGATAAAAGCTACTGCTGAGTTACCGATTGTCATTATTACCACTCTGTTTGAACACCATGTAGAAACTGGTGAAGGCACTATAATTACCCAGTTAAAAAGGTAGATTTTTCCAAAGTTGTTTCTTAAGATACATCATTTCTTTTTGCGTTGCTGGAATATGTCGCCATTTGAGTTAAACAGTACAAAGCACCAGGCGAAACAAAAGAACACAGAAACAAGAGCACCCATTAAAAAAAAAAAAATTCCCTCTTTATAACCAGTCAACATGTTTTGCTCACCATAAAATCAGTTTCAGTGCAGCTTATTGCAGTCATAACTGCCATTAAAGACAACACAAAACTTTCAGCTAAATTAAAAACAAGTTACCGGGGCTCTTCACAAAAGATCCATATTTTGTGGTGATCAGGAACTAAAAATTGGTGGTAAAATTGTAATTGTTTAACATTGTAATTTAAACACTAACAACGATGTGTTTTGTGCGTTGGAGGATTAATATATTTACAAGTCCCGTTGTGTACACATATTGAATGTAAACCACAGGAAGAGAGACGGAAGTCTTCAGACCAGAGGGGGACAGAGATCTTCGTGGGTGGGTGGTGTTTGTGGTCACAGCCCAGCGCATACACACGGCTTAAAAGCGACATATGACACATTGCGGTG